AGCCCATTGGAGGGGGGGGGTCCCTCCACCCTGAGGGCTCCCGCACACCCCCCAGCCCTCTGTCACCACTCAGGAGCGGGAGAGAGATGGGTGGGAAGCGACCGGCTGGCAGGCAGGTGCTGCAAGGCAAGGCAAACACGGTGCCGGCTGCAGCGCTGGAGACCTTGAGATAACGCTGAGCTATAAAGGAAAAAAGGTCCAGGCGGGGTGAGCACTGCCGGCTGGGCTGGCTCAGCCAAACCCCGTGGCGGCCGAGCCGAGAGGGACACTTGGACCATCTCCTGACCTTTCTGAGCAATGCAAGGGGAAAACCAGCCATTGCTTGTCTCTGCTGAAGGAGATGCTCAGTCCATGGCACAAAGAGGGTGACCAAGAGAAGAGCCACACGTAAGGATAGAAGGGTCAGCGATGACCCCAGCCTCCTCTCAGCTCCCCTTGTGATCTTGGACAAGGAGAACATGGAGATGAATCCCCAGAGGCAAACAGGTAAGCCAGCATGCCTTTCCTGGGCACCTCTGCCGCCCATGCTGCCCTTCAGGGCACTTTCCTCCCTCCCTGCTCCGCCACTTGTCCGTCTGCTCTCCCTGCCAAGTGCTGAGTCTCGGGAAAAACAGCCGCTTCGAGTTTCAGCGCGGCCTCCTTGGCAGCTCTCTCCTGGCTACAGGTTAACAGAAATGCTCTGAATATTCCCCTTCTGGTTCATCCGCGCAGGTCGGACCTGGGTGCATCCTCCCTTGGGCAAGCCCAAAGGACAGGACATGGCGGGGAGCAGGGTGAGGGATGCAGCTGGCTCTCTACCCTCCTCATTGTTACAGGGGTGAGGAGTTTATGTATTGAATGGTAGAGGGGATGAAGCAGATGGAGATAGAAGGGGGTGAAAGGCTCAGGAGGTGGCAGTGCATTCACAGCCCAGGAAAAGCCGCAACCATAGTGTCACGAGAAGGAAAGCAGGTTGGGGACCATGGCTATGGAGTCATGAGCCAGGTCTCAGGTACAACCAGATTCAGGATTTCATACATCTGGGCACATCAGGCTTTAGCTGAGATTTCTGTCTACGGCAAAACCACACACAACTCCAGCCACCTGCCTGGGCTTGGCAGACCTTTGGCACGTTGTGGGAGCAGCAGCAACAGCTCTGCCCTGGCTCCAGACCCTGTGAGAAGCCAGGACAAGGGATTGCCATGCACTGCAAGGAGTGGAGCACAGCCGGGGGCCTCCGACCAAGCACGCTGTTACCCAACACGAGCACAGCTGGAGGGCTGTCCCATGCAGCGTGCCCATGCATGGGAGGAGGCAGGTACAGTGTGCCCTGGCGTGCATGGCAGGGGTCCACGGCACTGACGCCACATGTGCTAATAGCATGTGTTTCTGTGCTGGAAACCTTGGCCCATGGTAGAGCAGCCCTAGATGTGACATCCCTGAGACTCATCTGCCTCACCTGCCTCTCCATGTACCCTGTTTTGTCCTGCAGGGCTTTTTTTTTGGTGGAGACCCAATCAGGCAGGTTTGGGAGGCCATAATTCAACTCCCACACAAGTGTTATTTGACAAAAGTGTCAAAAAAAGCCCCTAAATAGCCTGGACACAGTTAGAGTCCTGCTAGGACAACAGCAGAAAGACAGCAAGAGCTGACCTCAAGGTGGAGGATGGGGAGACAAATTTTCATGTCCTCAGCAGGACAGCAAATCATCCTTCAGGTCCATGCCCGAGGTAAGGGCTGCTCAGAAAGTGCACGTGGGACCAAGAGAGGATAACTGAAGCGTCTTGCCCCAGGCACAGTGGACAATGAACAACCAGAGCTACCTGGAGAGATGCAGACAACTTTTATATTAACCCGGAGGAAGCTCTTGATGTCAGATTTTGCTGTGGAAAACCAGATGGACTGCTGGCATGTTATCCATATTATTTGCAAGACCCTCAAGCCGTGTGAATGGATGACATCCAGGACAGCCCTGGAGCTGGATCCACCCTCTCCCTGGAGGGCTGCCCAAAGCTTGGTTTCTCCCAACACAATCCACAATCCACAGGTGCACAGCTCTCAGCGGTGCCTCTGCTGCCCATGGGCACTGAATCCACCCTCAGGACCATTTTACAGGCAGCACTGACCTTGCACTTCATCACAGTTCCAGCATCTCAGTGCTCATACTGTACAGCAGCTGGGCAACGAGTTGCAAATCCCACAAGAGAGGACAGCAATGAGTGTTTCAGAGCAAGGAAGCATCAGGGAGCACAAGCATGTCAAGACCAGGAAAATGGCATGAATTGCCAGTCAAAAAAATGTTTTCTCCCCCTTTTTAAGGGCTGGTGAGTCCTTGCTTCTTCCCAAACACACGTGTGGGAGAACAAGAGCAGACTCTTTCCAGGACATCACAGTGCTCTCCGGTTACAACACTATGGCAGCTTTACTGGGCCAAGTGCCACCTGGAAGGACACGTTGTTTGAAAAACAAGGCTGCATTTCTCAAACAGCATATCATGGCTCCAAACCAAACAGGAGCAAATCGGCAGGAGTGCTGTAACAAGAAAACCTTGCTGGATGTGGAAGGGACTTCTCTTTCCCTCCCCATGCTCCCCCAAAAGGCCAATTCCCAGTTTTATGGGCCCACTCCTGCACTCACTAGGATTAGCATGTTCACAGGGAGGGCAGGAGGAAGACAGGTTCCTTCTCCAGGTCCCTTTGCAGGCTGAGTGACAGATGTCTGTCTCACAGCTCATCG